TATTCTTTTTTTCTTAATTTCACTCTTTCCTTTATTTATTTATTTTTTTAGACCCTTAAAAAAAACATTATTTATTTTATATTATTCTCCTTATAATAAAAACTTGGGGATTTACTTTCAAAATACTGACTTTGTATATAGGTATCATAATGGCACGAGTGGCCCTTTAAGAGACTCTCAAGAATGTTTTTTTGTTTAGTCTCCTCTAGTTAATATAATCATCTACAAGCTCTTGATGCGATCAGTGACCATGGCGTTAAAGCATTGTATGTTATTGGAGATATCAAGATTTGTTGGGGTGGTAAGGTTTGATTTTGCTATTGGGGTGCCAACAAGGTCTAAAATTGGTAAGTTGTTGAAGGTCTAATTAGGTAAAAGTGCATGTAATAACAGATAAATTTATTATATATCCCGACCTAAGTGTGTCTTGGTTGTATATCATGAAATGACTTTGAAATATCAAAAACAAGTTTTAGAACCCGAAAGCTTTTTTATCAGTTTTTCATGAACGACATTAATCATGATGTCCCTAAATATCCAAGCAACTTAGAAATAGGGCTTATATATTAAATAATTAGTTCATCTTTTAGTTCAAGCAATTTGATGTATTCTTCCTAACCAGGATGTTTAGTGGCTTGATATAAAAAGGTCAAGTAATTGGTAGTTGGTAGCTTTTAGTGCCTGATAAGCTAATATTGTTGGTAGATAATACTTGTAAAAGATCCCCTTTAATGGACATGAGAACTTTTAAATATTTAAATCAATAACTTTATAAAAAAAAATATCATTATATTTAAAAAAAAAAGACTTTGAAAATATATATACTAAAAAATGAAGAGATTATGACCCTTGAGTTTGAATAATTCATATTGTATTTATAGTTCATGAGTTGTGTTTTTTTAGAAACAAGCTAAAATATAATTTTACTATTGTGATATTTTAAATTGTATTTTACTTAAAATAATATATATTAAATTGTTATAAAATATTAAAAGACTCGTGTAGGATCCTAAAATTTTTTTTAATGAAACATTAAGTTTAGATAAGATATATATATTTATTAAAAATAAAAAATAAATTTAAATACGTTACTAGACTGACTCAAGCATGTGCTTAAGCCGAAGTGCTGAAATGCGTACCCATCTTCAAAGTTGAGCATGATACCATCTTCAACTATAATAGTTGCACTCGAGCCTAATAACCTGAGCCCATAAGGATTTTTTTTGAGTCATTGGAGGGTTTTGGGGGTTTTTTTTAAGGTTTTTGAGCGCTAGCCTGGGCTCTTAGTAGATAATAGTTAAATTCAGCATATATTTATGCTGAGTTATTATTCAAAACAGTAACTAGTAACTGTAACTTCATACCACAACAACACATACAGTAACAATTCTCCAAGGGACTTAATACCCCATAGTTTTGAACAAAGCATTCTAGCTACAAAGTTTTAGGTTCAGTTTCCAGCAATACAAAACAGGAATTATACTGCAAAGAGAGGGGAAAGAAATAATGGTGATGTCTTAATTAAAGAGTAATTATTTCATGTGTGGCCTTGCACTCCTCTGCATTAGCTTTGGTCCATGCCTACAAAAACAAATTACAAATTGTTCATTACTGAACACTATATCTCTGTGGAGACGGTAAACACACAAGCATCCATGTGAAAACCCACCTAAAAGGGAGAAGTACCTAAAATTGCCATTGACTGAGGCACCGAATCCTTCCTTGGCCTTCCCCTCTTTCTGTTTGGCTTTTCGCCATGCCTTCACAATCAAAGCTACTGTTATCTATAGCTGAATTAGAAGGGAAAAAACTAAAAAGCATGTGCATGTGCATACTCACGCATCTGCATCCGCTTACATGGGCACACCATAACAGAACATTTTATAAATATGCCAAGAAACAATGAGAAAGCATTTTGTATTTATATAGTGCCTTCATTATGAAGGGAAACTGTTTCTCCGAATGATTTGAGAAACCAAAATGCAGAAGGCCAATTTTCATGTAATACCCAACATCAGTCTTAAAATGTTTTGCAAAAGAGTACTCGGTACAGAAGGAACAAAAGACTAGTTATAGAGGTATAAGGAATACTTACAGAGTAGCTGTTTCCACCAACTTATCTTCTTCATTTTGAAGCCCATGTGAATCATAAGTGCTTGAATGAGGGGGCGATGATTCACAATTCAACAAACAATTGATGCAGGTCCTCACCTGACTGGTGTCATGCTTGTTGAAAGCTTCTTTTGTTCTGTCCGGCTTTACAGTAGCAGCCTCTTCCTTTTCTGCCTGCATTCTTTCAATTTCCAATTTTCGGGACTTCTTCCTTTTCTTCAAGGGAAGTTCCTTTTGTGTACGATAAACTTTTTTGCCACGAACTACAAGGAAATACGAGGAATAAAACTACTGCTTGAGAAGAAAACAGAGGCTCAAAGTATCAAAGCAGAATCACAACAAATATTGTAATGGAAAAAAATCAAACTAAAGAACTTTTTTAAGGAGCCTTCAATACTTACTGGTGGATTGCGACTCAACCAATTCTGTTCAAGAAACAATGTAGGACCCAAAAGATTTTTCTCTAATCTGTGTTTCTGAACAAAGGTCATATTTCTAAGAGTCTTGTTCACCTTACAATTTTTACACTGATCGATTCCAAAGCATTGATTTTGATGAAATAATGGCAATTTAAAAATGGTTTTATACGGTGATTAATTAGCACGGACTGACACCCA